GGGGGAAGAGGGGGAAGGAGCCCCCCCTTCTCTCCTGAACGCGACGTGAAACGACTTGATCTGAAACAATCACCAGTTGCATTTTTTTCGCCATCAGCTTCAGGAGAAACATTCATTCCGAGATCGCTTTCTCTTTCTTTTTTCTCCAGTCACTTAAAAATTCCCTTCACAACAGCGTCTTTTCCCCGTTTGCCGCCAGCAAAGCTGCGCACTTTTAACACTTTCTCCCACCAGTGCAGGGCAGCAAAGCCAGACACGATCGCGCTCGCACGCCAACATTGTTTTTCCCCCGTTTTGGTTAAGAAAATATGTCATCCTTACCTTCAAAAGAGAATCCGAATTGAACGCAAAATCCGGTTAGGAAAACAAATCCAACAGTATCGTGTGAGGTCCACATCATTCCAAGATCAAGGGGCTCGTTTTTCTTTTTACATCAGCCGGAGGAGGATAGAAAAAAGACGAATCTTTCCAAGGGGGCGAAGAGGGGGGAAAAATCCTGCACACCAGCAAAATCAAACAGTTGCTGGGCGAGTGTGTTTAAACGGAGATTTCAGAAGGCTGAACATGCTGGAAAGCTACAGCTTGTCGTTGCCGAAGTTCTGTTTTTCTCCTCCTCTTTCTCTATGCCTCTCTGCGGGAGAGACTGTCGACTGCCTGGTTGCACTGAAGTCTGTGAAATAACCGTGTTGCGGTCTTCTTCTGCGCTACCAGAGAGACGTCAGTCTAGTGGATCACTGTGGCATCCACACTCTCCCCACACCTCTGCAAATCTAGTCCTCATCCGGCCCTTTTTCCTGTCACCTTGACCGCTTAATTTAAACAAAAGCAGCACCGCGCGTTTGCTTTACAGTTACTACTTTTTAACGAGCTTATTTTATTTGCACATTTTTGCAAATGATGCCCAAATGATGCGAATACAGATTTTTTAAAGGTCCTACTTATTCACAAAACTTCAGTTTTGTGAAAGGGAACCTTAAAGTTTGTCTAACGTGCACAAGAGCGCGTGTTAAATGTGGGTGTGCCGAAATCTTGTGCACTCACGCAGTCAGGAGTTCGTCTAAATATTGTAGCTTCACAAGTGAGCAAATAAGAAAGATGACAGTTTGGAGGTGGGTCATGGCAGGGCAAGCACAACATGTCCCGAGTCATTAAGCTAAAAGAGAGCCTGCTGGAGTATGCTAGTCTCCCAGAAAGAGTGAGAACATTTTGGCCTTTGATGCAGTGCGTACATATCGTGGCACCGCTAACGTCTGCTCATAACGTGAATGGAGATCATTCATCCTTTGGGGAGGCGGACAGGTGTGTTTAGATCGACTGGCATAAAGTCAGAATTCAGCAGTGATGGGAATAACGGCGTTACTAACCGCGTTACTTTTTTCAGTAACGAGTAATCTAACTAATTACTATTTCTATCGTTACAACGCCGTTACCTTACTAACAAGAAAATGCGGTGCGGTCACGTTACTATTTTTCAACAACCAGACGGTTGAAGCTGTCTTCAGCTTACTGCATCAGAAGTAACTGTCTACCAAAGTAATCTTTAGCTGTCTACCTAAGTTACAGCTTTAAGCAGCTGCGCGCTCTTGCGGGAGGCAATCACTTTCTGCCTGACGATCACTTTTTGGCACAACACCTGGAGCTAAGGGAGCAAAACAATCGCATGAATGCTGCTGTTTGACTGAGGAAGCATAAACGACTTTATGCCTTTATGACATGACCACTTCAAGATGACAAAGCAACAAGGTGATAGTTTTTAAATTGTGTTGATAGACCACGTAAAACCAGAGTCATGATAAATAATAAATACATATTTTTTCCTGAATAGTTTCGTCATGTTTACTGTCTAAGGACAGCGCAGCGAGCACTCTCTCCATATGAGAGTAATTGCTAAAGTTTAAAAAACCAAAAAAACCAAAAAACCTGCCCCTTAGGCTACGTTCACACTGCAGGCGAAAGCGCATCAAATCCGATTTTTTTGACCCTATG